TGGCCTGCTGTGTTCATCCAGCTCTACACCTTGTTATCTCATAACTCAATTTCAATGTGGTTTGGTGAAAGACCACGAGCTCCTTGTTTCTCAAAATGAGTTAAATTCTGGAAATACTAAAGTTGTCATTTCAAGGCAGTTAACAACTAGAATGTTTCTGAAAATTTTACATAAATTTGAAAACTGGGCCTTGCATTCAAGTCACAAATGCTGGAAGGCTCTGAAGGCACAATTCTATGGCTTTGCATGACCAGAAGGGAGTATCTCTTGCAGGAGTGCATATTATGTAACTGCAAGTCAGGTACTCACGATTATCAGTAGAACACATTGGGGACTACGCTTATGACTCCCAAATTATGTCCCAGTGGGTGGAATCTCTCACTGGAGTACATTGTATAAACGTTTTGGAAGACTAGATGGACTACACAACAGGAGATAGTGTGTACTAATTAGAAAGTCATGTGCAAGGATACATTCGGCAATACCTCACACTTTCAAAATGGTGGCAGATAAATTGAACATTGCTGTGGAATAATGGGTAGTTGGATGGGGTACACTGAGCGTAAATTTTACCAGGACATTAAAGGTAGGTTGGAGATGGTGTAAGAAGCAAACTGAGAGAAAAATGTGATGTGCTTGATCCTCCATCACGTGTTCACACCACCTCTTCACGCTTTTCTTAGAGGTAGCATCAATAAGAACACACAGAAACTATGACCAATAACTTCCTTGTCCAAGGCATCACGTCTTGTTCGTTACACAATTCCTACACATCAACTGAAGAAAGAATCACGCTATGAATTATTGGAAGCATGACCTGGTTGTGTCTTGGGAAAGGTTAATTGGAGCATTTGAGATATTAGTGAATTATAGGATCAACAATGTTTCTCAACTGATAACATGTAAAGATTGAGGAAGAATCAGTAAATGAATTGGGGAGGTTGCGGAAATTAGAGTCAACTGCGATATGAACAGAAATAACCAACGAAACAAAAATTGAATTCAGAGAAAGAAACAAAATGTAATAAAAATAAAGTAAAATTTCAGAACAGTTTACTTCCTTCAGAAATGAGTCTCCACAGTTTCAACTATTCTCTTTCTCAGGTGGAGAGATTTTGTGGCATTGCAGGAACCTAAGAGCCAAGAAGGGGAAATAATTGGACAAGTGGCCCTGGAGAGAAATTTCTTGTCAGTTCAGCAATTACATGCTGGCTGAGAAGGTCCATTGTGAGCTTTATTAACTCGTTAGCTATTATGGCCCATAAATGGCCATTTAAGGCCTCATTTCATGACCTCTAATCACCTGCTCAACGACCACCCCACCACCCCCACCACCCCTCCCTGGTGGGCAAAAAACGTGGCTAGTTTCCTTACTCACCTCATGGCCTACCATCTGTGCCTCTGATTGGGGCAATTAGAAGCTCCTGAAAGTCACTCCCTGAGCTCTTTCCTTGACTCCTCTCTGTCCGGATACCAAAAGATAAAAATGATTCACCTTCTTGCTGCTGGATCCCCTAAGGAGGTGGCCTTGATCAATGGACTTTAGGACCCAGATAAGTCAGCCTTTGATTAGCCGGCAGCATCTGGCAGCCTGGGATGCCAGTGTCAAGGCCTGTGCTAGGACAAGGTGCTTGCCATGCTCCACCTGTCCCTTAATGAACAAACTAGTGTATGTTCGAGTGAGTTACCTTAATGGTGGGGTGGCGTGTCAGTCACATATTCACCCGTACACTTTAAAAAAAGGGAAAGATTCTGTGCAAGGTCTCGTCATTAAAAACACCTATGCTGCAGATTACCAGCCCTAGCTTTTTGCAAGGAATGGAACTGGTAAATAAGGTGCAAATGCAGCAACTTCTCAAAGCTCATTGAGAGATTGATGGTGAACTGCCACTTTTGAAGCCTGACATCAGAGTGGCACAAATAACGGAACAATTTTTGGGATTTCACAGCCTACGCCACATCTCTTTCTCACCACAAATTGTTAAATGATTTACGCATTAATATGAGTGCACAGTAAACCTTCCATTATTTTGCCAGCAAATTCTGGCCCAATGATTTTGACAGCATGTAGAATGAAGCACAAGGTTAAGACAGCAAACAGCAATAACAGTGAGTATAGTTAACAATAATGATAGAAGCTTGAAGACAATCCAGCCTTTTATTTGTCCTGCTGCTACCTGTCAACATCATTTAAAACCTCCTGTGGTTGGCAATGTAACAGGGTTGGCATTACTACCATGGAGACAACATTTTTATTTACAGTAAATTGTAGGCTATTCATAGTTATTAGCGAGCTGGTTGGTTTCTAGGTCACTATTCTGAAGAAGTAATTTGGAAGGCAGTCTAAGAGAGAACATTTTTTGTACTGCATATATCCCAAAATGAATTTTATATTTCACCAAAGAAGACTAAAGAATAAGATCATACATTGAATTACACGATGCAGAACTAATCATTGCTGAGTCAGAAATAAACTGTATAAATCAGGAAGTTATGACGACAGTACATTCAGCAAACTAAGTACTTATAATTTAGTGTAACATTTGTTCCAAATTTGTTCCAAGCAGGTCAAGCGTCTAAATGAATTAAGGCACTCAAAGAAACAGCAGCATGAAGGCCAGTAACTGCAGCTTTGCTATAATGTAAACCACTTTTCTCAGTGCAACCTGTTCTTTCTGTCAGTGGACTGTATTATTCAAGTGGTACAGCACCATAATATTGTCAGAGTATTATAGATTTTCCTGTCACAAAAGGTGGAGCTACATGAAGCAGATATGAAATACTACAATTAAACAGCAATTCAAGAAATGTGCGCTCTGAAAAATGAATTCAGTCTGTCATGCCATCATGGTTCGATGACCATGTGAAATGTTCAACCTTTGATTTTGAGTTTTGTAACATCATTAGAGCCCCTCAAGTGTGTTACCATCTTGCAACACAAACAACATTCATTTATTCTCTTTGGAGTATTGAAGGCTTTCTCAAAGCAATGTTCTGAGTGGTATTTGATTCGTTTTTAAATGACATAATATGGTGTCAACTTGTTGGCCTGGTTTCACTTAGTGATCTTAGACAGCAATTAATCAGACCTAAAGGTGAAGGGAAGTGTACATAATCGCTTTTCAGCATACTTGCCTAGTTAAGCAAGATATAGCGTTAGCTGGAAGCACTTAGATTTAAAGTATAAAAATTCCCAATTTTATCATTGCCAATACATACAGTTTCCATCTTTTCAGGGTAAAGCTCTGTTACCAAATAATTAGAATCTCTCAATTGTCATTGCAAGATGGTGGGAGGAAGAAGACACTTTAAAGCCATTTTCAAGCCATCGGATCCATGTACTCCGACATTGCATAGCTACTAGCCATTCACAAATTGCACATTATGTCTTGGGATTGGTGGTTCAAGGCTATTTTCACAGTTTGCTCAAAGAAAATAATGGAGGTTCATACAGCACTCGACATAGTTGATGTTATGTCTATTGGCCTGGGATTGATATGACCATTCAGCTAGAGAGCTAAGCTTTGTTGGGACAGCAACAGCTGTAACAACAGGCTGAACAGCTGGGAGAAACTCTGTTTAGGGGATACCAGGCTACGTTTAGGTCTATCCAACAGCTTAATAGTCACCCTATAGTTCGCATCCTCTAAGAGCTGCCAGCCAATTAGAGGTCTCTTCAGTCTCAGCAGCAGCAGCACCACCAGGAATGGTGCCCATCCTGAGGAGAGGATGCAGTAAGATACGCCACCTTCACCACAAGGTTGGGCATCACTGAAACCAATCAGCCAGGCCCAAATGAAGGGCAAGTGGTTTTGGTAAGAATCGGAAAAGGGATGTTCCTTTGTGTAGTCATCAGTGCCAATGTTCCTGTGTTCCCATTCATGAGTCACAGAGTCCCAGATAGGAGGAATGCCACTCAGGACCTGCAGAGAGGCTGTTGGGACTCACTTGGCAATCTGCCTATGTAGTCACCCCAGGTGGCAAACAGTTCACTCAGTGCAGGAAGAATACCAGTGGCAGTAGAATGTTATCCTTAACTGTTCAATTAAGTAGCATAATTGGCCTTGGACAGGAGAGCCACCTTGTACTTTACCTTTCAATGGTAACATGCCAGAGCAGCCAGAGGGCAATAGGCAGTTTACCCCTACCTTCTATCACCATCTTACAGGCCCTCTTGCTCCCCTGCTCATCCCTAAAATCCATAGGGTCTTTACTGAATGAGCTACTGAATTCTTTCTTCCAACCTAGTAGCTGGGTCATCTGCCTCACAAGCATGTCATGTGACTGCCATGACAATGGGATGGGGATATTTAGAAAACACAGCTCCACAGTTCAATACTTTTTAATACTGCTTGATGATATTCATCACTAAAAAAATTCTAAATTTATATATATATAGTAGCTCTGAATTTGCAAAGAACTTCTAAGTGCTCAGTGGATTCAATAGTGGTTAAGGATAGTAACCATTTGTAGCTTCAGGTTTTTGACAGAGGCTATTTGTTCCATGGAGTTAATGCCAGTTTTCTGTACAGTAATCCAGCAATCCTATTCCAACTGTTCTATTCACATAACCCTGCACGTTTACTACACTCAAGTGCTTGTTTAATTTCCTTTTGATATCACTGCTCATCTCCACTTTCTTCATCCACCGAGGCATCAAATTCCAGGTCGTCACCATTCAAACAGACTCAATGTGTTGTGATAAAATTGACATTTGCAATGAGCAGAAGAAATTTCCGAATGACGCCATTTTATATTTTGCATAAAGGAGGAGTGCCTACTGACTCACCATTGGAGTCACTTTGGCCATCTGGGATGTGGGAGGATACCAGTATTAATTTCTAATTGAAAACCGGGTTTTGATTCTCAGGATGGAATTCCTTCCTCTTTAAGTAACTTGACAATACCTAGAGAAAGGTCATTAAGTTCACACACCAAGCAATTCCCTTCCCCAGTCACTAGGAAAGCACTTGGTTTCTGATTTGAGAATGTGGTTAATAGTTGGAACGGTCAGCTATGAGCAGGAACATATATCACTTGACCACATAGCATATTGGTACACAGATCCATAATACTCCTCTCTCCTAAAGATTCTTTATCTCACACTATTCTCATTTCAACATTTCAAACGTTTAACATAATTCATAGCTTTCTGATATCCCCTATATAGTTACTTTTAGACAGAATAGATTCAAGTATTGAATATAATTTTCAGTAATGTATTTCTTGAGGTTTTTTTAGTCATTGAAAGGCACTAAGAGTCATAACGCACATAAAGTTGGTTGGCCCAGGGATGTCCAAGTCAGAGTAACGTCAAAGTTTTCCATCCATCTGGGAATAACAACAAAGAAAAAAAACATAATTCCAGTATTGATTTCTTGCTCTAGATTAATTATTGTGACTTGTATTATTTGCACTTGGGGCCCGTACTACTGACAGCTAGTGGCAGTAAAATGTACTCGCTTGTTTTGTAAAACCAGCAAAACAGCCATTGTGTTTCATACAGTGAGTCAGATATTACACTGCTGCAGAGAGGCAGGGCTGAATTGTATGATATTTTGGCTAAGCATCTTTTTCTTTGAATTTCATGGAGGGGTTCTTTCTACGGAGGTAGCCACTTAGGTCAGCATGGTTTCCATAGTTTGAAGAAACATCCAGCAGTACAAGAAGGTGAATAACATTCTCCGCTCCACCAAGATAAGTGCCACCATCTTCTCTCTGCTACCTCACACTAACTCTATTACTACTGCTTTTGCACCAACCTCCCAGCAAGGCTCTTGTTGTAGTATTTTCGCTATTACAAGCAGCATCTTCCCTCACTCGCTCCTAACCACACTACTTATCCTGCATGCCATCTATGCTGCCTACTCACTCACTTGGTACACCATACCACTTTTCCCCTTTCTGCATCAGCATTAACAGCTGTGCTACCCACTTTCATCTCAGTCTGTACTCCGCCTCCCTCCTTTCTCTCACTCCAGAAAAAAAAGGCCCGTTACAGGATCAAAAGGGCTGAAGAAGGGTCACTGGACTTGAAATGTTGACTCTGCTTTCTCTTCACACATGCTGCCAGACTGCTGAGTTTCTCCAGCAATTTCTGCTTTGGTTCCAAAAGGGACAAGATGGATGATGGGGTTCCTGACATTTGGCTCCTGACTATCTATGAGGAGAGCATCTTGGTCCCCCACAGAGAAGAATGGAACAGCTTCTGTGAAGATGCTTGAAAGATCCATGTCTTGGAAACCAAGTTAGATGTATTATCCATTGCTGTGCTACTTTCCCATGATCCCCACAGCGTACTTGATCTTTACATGCCACAATGTCTATCCCTTGATCATTGCATTCTCTCCTTTGGGTCTTACAGTAAGAGTGGCATGACCACAGTGGATCCTGGTCAAAGGAGGCGGCCCGCAAGAGATGCCTTTGTCCACTTCAGAGGAAACATCAGCAAGGCTGCCTTCTGCACCCTCCATCAGCTCAGATACTGACACCTCGGTGGGTATTGTATCCACATCAGAGTCAGGAGCACCTGCTAGTATGCATTTCATTGTCAAATCTCCACAGCTGGTCAAAGAAGAAATGCCCCAGTTTACTGTCACTTGTAAGAGCCCAGGTACCTGCACAGCCCCACGCAAGAGAGGACCCCATGGTGTTCGCAATTTGTGACTTTATTGGCATACACAAGTAGACACAGTAGCAGCAGGAATTTTGTTGGGGGCACTGGGCAAACTAAGTCACCTGCATCAACACTATTGGGACCCTGCTATCTCAAGAATGTAACTGTCTGACTGCCTCCATGGACAGGTTGGAAGATGCCATTAAGAACCAGGTCCAGCAGTTTCAGAGCATGTTAGATTTGCACACAGACCTGCACTCTATCATTCTAGCCATTGGTTTTCAGCACCAATAGCAAGGCGATTCAGGATCCAAGGGACCTTGACCACACACCAGGTTCCCCTTTCTCACAAGCTGTCCAGATGGTGCCAATAGGCAACCAGTCAGTGAAGGAACGATGCACAAGTCCCTACAGAAGTTTCCTCACAGAAAATTCCAGAACTTTCAAGGCCTTCCACCCTCAGTCACCCTCAGCCCTCTGTTAGTTCAAGCTGAGGTGGGGGAGGATCATTTGCCTCTAGTAAGAACACACATATCGGACACACATATCTGTGCCCACTAGACAAAACGTTCACCCCCAGGGTAACCAAACCAGACCTGTAAGGCAAACAGGTTCCATTGTAGGACAGGCTTCCTCCACCCCAGTGGCAGAACCCAAGCGTTCACTGGGACATAGTGGTAGCAAATGAAAGAAGGCCTTCTGAGGGCATATTGGTTACACAGGGGAATCCTTATTGTAAATAAATTCTTACTTTTTTGGATATATGTATTGTTGTCATTAACATAAATATATGTTCTGTTATCATCAGCTGTGTGTAGAGGCTCTGTCCACCTGCAAATACAACATTGTAGGTACTGAAGCCACCCAAACTTCTCCCTGTCTAATATTCCATGTGTAGGCAATGGGTAAATTACAGGTGACTGCGATTTTGGCCAAATGTGCTCCATCTTGCCATCTGCAAAGACATTGCTATCGCATCACAGGCATTATTGAGATTCTGTCTATATCATGCATAAAATGATGAGGGACACTTGCAGCAACGAGCTGGCTAGATGGGCTAATGGTAGGAGTCAAAAGGATTGCAGCACTTGCACTCTTGTTTCACCTTCAGTGTTTCTCTAATGGTTTCACTCTTTGAAGGGCCTCACATAGCATGGACCTGCAGCCCCCTCCATCACCCACTCCAGGTTTGATTGCAGCCATTTTTATTTCCAATGTACACTTGTGATTTACATACCCTGTATTTGTGACAATGGAGGGTGATGTGGCTGCTCCCTGAGCAGAGACTTCCAGGCTCTACCTTATTGTGTAGGTATACCCTCAAGCATTAACATCTACTTCCTGATAGCTCTCCCTCACAACCCTGTAGGCCTTGTGCCTCCCTAGGTTCCCATCCAACTAGTCTATTTGAATCTGCTCCTGCCCACTCTCTTCCTGCCGTATCAGATTCCATTGAACTTCAGAGTGCTGCTCACTGTTGATGACTCCCATTCCTACATGACCTCTTTCCGTCGCATGTTCTACCGTACCCCCCTGTTACATAAGAGTTATCCTTTTCACAACTGTAATGCCCTGGGGTTCCCAGCATTCTGACTCAAATCTCAACAATTAAGTTTCCCAGCCTCCCTCCTGCAGCAGTGGCCCCTGACAACCCCTTCTTGGCTTTTGATGGATAGACACCACCAAACTGACAGTGGCCCATCCTTTAAGGGACTAAGTCAGACAGCCCCAAATGACTATATATGAGTAACCAAATTCCTGTATGATATCTGCACACTTTCCTGACTGCATTTTCATCACTCCCTGGGCTGGTTGTACTGGTCCCAAAGCATTGACTGTGACCCATTCCCTGGGCTGGAGAAGTATGGACATCCTGACTGCATCAGCTCTGTCCTGACCATGCTCAAACTCCTGGAATAATAGTGGAGCTGACCTTCACTTACTGTGCCGGGGCCCCTTGATTGATCGCACCTTCCTAGACAGCAACTAAGAATGGGCAGTAAATTCTAGCCTGGTCACTTCTCACAGAGGAACAAAATGAAAAAAGATCCCTCTAGAATGAAGAAGGGTCACTGAACTTGAAACATTAACTCTGTTTTCTCTCCACAATTGCTGCTAGCAGAGTTGTTCTGGCAATTTCTGTTTTTGGTTAATTAAGAAAATATCATTCTTGTATGCCACAGCTGAGGGAAATATTCAAGCGTATAGGCCTAGAACAGCCACAATTTTGAGTCTAATGGCTGGAGTGGAAATGCTCAGATCACGAATCTCATGGATTGCCATCTAAAATTTTGATAAAAATAACTTTATCTACCAACATTAAGTAATTGGAACAACCATCTGTTCAACCTTTGCCTTAGCTGAAAAGACGTCATTTCCAAGTAGGAAATGGGTCACAAAACTGACCCACAGAGACTTCTAATAGTGTTGATTGTGGTGGATGTCGCCCATTGGTTACATGAGATAAGCGTAGCAAAACTGAAGTAGTCTAAGAAAATACAACGTGGCCTCTTATAAACTTTCTAATGGATACAAGTATAACGTCGAAACAGACGTCGCAGACCTGGTTATGCCTGGTCACCACCATTTTGTGTGTTGCCTTGTATCAGCAGAACTTCCAACTTGTAGCTTTGCAAAGCAATTAATGGTCTTGGGTGAGGTAGGGGAAGTCTAACGCTTCCAATCCCAGATGGTGGGCATCAGTGGTACCTGATACACAAAGTCAAATGTGACAGACTGCCCTCCACTAGCTCACAGTTAATTTTAAATCCCGGATCAGCCCTCTTGCTTTGAGGTTGATTGCAGCACTGCTCAATTTGGATGGATTTCCACTGGCAGAGGGTTAGCAAGTGCCTTAGAAATTCCCAAAGTGACATTTCTGCCATTGGCAGCATATAAATGATATCCCCCTGGAACTAAACCCACAAATGTAGCACTGATCAGTTTTTCAGGGCGAGGACAGGAAAACAAGCCACCTTCCATGGAATTTCAGGTTCTAGTTTGTCGTGTAGAATATTAAAAAAATCAAGAAACTTTTGGATTTTTCATTTGGTTCAGCTCAAATTTTGGTATTCAATGAGATACCATGACTCAGCCTTGGGAAACAACTGCACTAAAGACCAACTTTACTGAATATTTAGGAAAAATCTCTTTCCCTGAAGAAAAGATTATTTAATTTCCCTTCTGGAATCTTATTGCAGTTTATCCAGATTCTGAGTCAGCTCCACTAAATATGACACATTGCTTGTGTTGTTGAACTGAAATTTCTTGGGCAGAGAGTTGAAAAATATGCTGCTGTTCCCTTTGCCCTGTAGAACTACTGCTTCAAATGTTGCAAAATCTACTAACCTAAACGCTACTAAGAAGCTCAAGTTTATAGAAAAAAATCATTTTATGTGCACACTGGACATCTTTGCTGATTTGATTGACCTTTTCCTGAGGACTGCAACTTGAAGAAAATGATTCTCAAGTAAGATTGCACAACATGCAGGATGCAAATTTTTTTTCTTTATTCATTAACAGGATGAGGGTATCGCTGACTGGGCAGCATTTACTGCCCATCCCAGAGAGCAGTTCAGGGTCAACTACATTGCTGACAGTCTGGAGTCACATGTAGACCAGACCAGGTAAGGATGGCAATTTCCTTCCCTAAAAAACATGAGTGAATCAGATGGGATTTTCCAACAATCAATAATGGATTCATGGTGACCATTAG